CGCTAGTAGTAACAGGTGCCTTACTACTAGTAACAAGAAGCTAGTAGTAACAAGTGCCTTACTAGTAGTAAGTCACTAATTACAATTCTAATTAAATTCTTCTTGTTCCTACTAGTAAGGCACTTGTTTCTAGTAGCGTGGCACTTGTTACTACTAGCGAACTCCAGTGGTATTGCTTGGAAAGTCACTACCTGAAGTCGACCTGTTGGTTCCTCAGAGTCTCCCTGATGTCATGGCCTACGAACAGAGGGTCCTTTGGAGGGTCCAGCTATGTCATTTCGGATTGACGACACACCATTCTCATTGCAAGGCTTCTAGAGTCAACTTGGATCCGTTTGGCAAAGAAGCCGAGTTTATTGTTAGCTTGCCCTTCTTCTTGGTTCAATCTTTTCTCGTCTTGATGGAGGTGTGGCATGGATGTTCATGTAGTGGAACGACGTTTTGACATGATCCTGACTCAAAACAACAATACATATGATTCTGACATGTCAAGCATGCCCCGACGCTCCATGGAACTGGCACATATGCCTATATACATTCACCCTTTTCAATGTATGTATATACATATGCCAGTCCCACGGATGGTTTGGGATGACCAGTGCTTGATTGACATGATTGTGACTCGAAAACCCTCCAAAGTGACACGAAAGCCCGATCTCCTGTGGTGCACATCGATCTTCTCGGACGAATCGACTGTGGCTCACCGACTGGAGACCACCGAACAACCGAACTAAATCCAAGTCCCAATTTTTGGGTTGATGGTGGTTGGGTGATTCATTGAAAAGGAGGTGAATCTGTAAGAAAAGGGACATGTATTCAACGGGCCGGAGGCGCCCGGTCGTATTCTTTATTAACAAGGATGCTATTAGGTGGAGGCCATGGTTGGAGGCCATCGCTACTAGTAACAAGAAGCTAACAGTAGCTTCTTGTTACTAGTAGCGATGGCCTCCAACCTACTTGCGATGGCCTCCAACCTAATAGCGTCCCTTGTTAACAAACCTACCAACTTTCCAAGCTGAGACAAGTAAATCCAAACAAACCGAGCTATGAGGCGCCGCATCTCCATCCCATTCCGGAAATCCTTCAGAAAGGCGGAGGGCCAAGTGGCAAGACCGTCCACCTGTTCCGTCCCACGTGTTCAGGAAATCCCAGGGCCTCAGCCGGAAGCCCACGCAATACCGGGCGCGCTTCGTCTTCATCGGCGCCCTTGGCTAGATGGGAGGGATGGGACCCGGGGGGTTGGTTTCCCAGGAACTGAGCTTACTCGAAAATAAACCAACAGTCACCAGCAAGGAATCAACAGTCACCAGTAAGGGGTGACTCCTGTATGCACCCCTTCTTGCGCGGTGCACTGGTAGGTGAAACAGCGACAGAGACTTTTCACCCTGCAGCTTTTTTGATTGCAAGATGGCTTTGATGAGTGTCGGACGCGGGAGATCTTTCGAAGATGTGACTGTCGCACATCAAGTGTGCTGTCCAAAGGTCTCTCCCCAAGACCCCCAACGAGTCCGAAAAGAAACCTCGGTGTTTTGGGTCTCTCCGGTCTCTCCGGTCACCTCCGACGGGAACCTCCTCGCGCCGATCCGCCGGTCCGCCGAGGCGCGGGTGGCTATGCCTTGCCCTTGCTGCAGAAGACGAAGATCCCGGACGTCCGAGGCTTCATGGGTTTCCCGTGCCTCGGCGAAGAAAAGAGGAGATGCGAAGCAGAAGCAGACCGGACCGGGTGGGGACGAAAGACAAGAGCAGGCCGGCCGTTTGTCTCGGTGTGGCTCGAAAGGGGAGCACTGTGAGGGGACACTGGCAAAGGAGTTGTTGGTTGAAATATGTTCAAAAACGCGCCGCTGAGAGCGCTCCTTTCTGTTCTCCTTTTCGGGAACCGGGGAAGAACGAGGTGCACTCGTGGTTGGTCTTTTTTGGACCGAAAAAGACCGCCTCGGTTCCCATTTAATGACCAGTGTGTGGGCCGCTTCGAATTTGAACACCGCTTGGCATAGGTTGAGAGACCGAGGGTCGGACACCGCGGACGAGGGGTCTGTGTGTGTGTGTGTCTTGTGCAGCATGTGTTTGCTTCAAGCAGCAGGA